TCCTTTCCTGGCGGGGACATTCCCTCGGTTCTCCGGTGCCTTGAAGGACTCTGCCAGGCCTGGGTCTCGGCGAATCGCCGTTGCCTGGCGGGAGAAAGCGAGGGAGTGGGCCCAGGAAGGAGTGGTCTCTGGCAAGGGAGCAGGAGGCTGGGCGGGGGGGGGGGGGTGGGCGGAGTGAGGCAGGCAGGAGGGGCCCGGGGCTCTAGAAGGTTGGGTGGGAAAGCTAACAGGCCTGTGGGTGTTCTCGGGACCTGGGAAGGGCTCATCACTCTTCTGAGTTGCCAGTATCTTGTCTCTGTAATGGGGATTCTTCAAGGAAACTCCGGATGGCATAGGATTAAGACCTTGACAATTAGCCAAAAGTTGGTGATTCAGACCCACCCGGAGACACCTGGAAATTTGAAAGGCCTGGCATCTGCTTCTGAAAAGTCATAGGTCTGACAACCCTGTGAAGCAGTTCTGCACTGCACGCAGGGGGTTGCCATGAGTCAGAAGACACTCACTTTGTCAGCTAACAACAATATAATGAGATTCCACGGAGTGTGCTACTGTGAGGGTTGAAGAGACACCTATAGTGAGCAGTCGCTTGTCACTCTTATTACTAGCTGGCAGGGCCCTAGGAGGAGTCGGTTTTCCTCAGTTTCCCTCCTGCCCTCTGGCCTCTTGGTGCCTCCAGGTCCTAGCCATCACTCCAGTCCTAGGACTAAGCATCCCTGGCTGCTCCCAGGCATCCAGCAGGACTGGAGATGAGCCCAAGCGTGAAAGATGACCCAATTTGCGCTCCCTTTGTGCAAATTTGAAGCCAAGAACCCTATCTGCGAGGAGAGCGTTTTCATCCTGCGCCAGTGGGGCAGACAGCACTCAGGGTCCTAGAGACACGGGCCCTCCTGTGCAGCGCCTCTAGGACCAGGCCTGCGAACCAGGGCGGTGGCCTCGCCCCCAGCATGGTTCGAACCCCACCGGACCAGGCCACCGCTTCCAGCACAAGGCTTCAGGGCACGGCCTCTCTCAAGTGCCCACAAGGCCAGAGACGGGCAGGCAGGGGCAGCAGTGAGCTCCCCCTGACCCCTTACCGATGTAGTCACAGCAGTCTGTTGGGCTTCTCAGTATATCCCAGCAAGGCCACCAAAGCCATTGCCATCAAGCTGACTCTGACTCATGGCACCCCCATGTGTTACTAAGTAGAACTGCTCCATAGAGTTTTCTTGGCTATAATCTTGGAGTAGTGCCTAAGACATTTGACTGCTAACCAGAAGACTGGTGGTTCAAACCCACCAGCCACTCCGCAGAAGGAAGACTGGGCAATCTACTTCCCTAGACATTCTGCCACAGAAACCCAAGGAGGGGTTGTTATGAGTCAGAAATGACTTGATGGCAGTAGTTTGTTTTGTTTTTGGTTTTTAGTACAAGAAAAGGCTCAAATAATTTTCAATGATTTAAAAACTGCACTGCAACAAGTGATGATGATTGTGAATAGGATAAGTTCAATCATTTTTAAGTGAAGGCAAATTTACACAATATTAAAGGGCAAGCAGGTGTTGACAGAAAATGTTGGTAATCTGGGGACTGACAATAATATTATTAGGAGCTCTGGTAGCATAGTGCCTAAGGCACTTGACTGCTAACCAGAAGGCTGGTGGTTCAAACCCACCAGCCACTCCTCGGGAGGAAGGTTGGGCAATCTACTTCCGTAGTGATACTGCCTCGGAAACCCAAGGAGGGGTCGCTATGAGTCGGGGCCGACTCGACGGCATATAACAACAACAACAAAGTACTCTGGTAGCGTAGTGTCTAAGGCACTTGACTGCTAACCAGAAGGCTGGTGGTTCAAACCCACCAGCCACTCCTCGGAAAGAAGGTTGGGCAATCTACTTCTGTAGTAATACCACCTCAAAAACCCAAGGAGGGGTCGCTATGAGTCGAATCCGACTCTAAGGCAGTGTGTTGCGTTGCATTGATGGCATAGTGGGAAAGGTGTTTGGTTGCTAACCAAAGGCGTTTGGTTGCTATTCAAACCCACCAGCTGCTCCTCTGGAGGAAGATGAGGGAGGCAATCTACTTCCATAGAGATTTACAGCCCTGGAAACCCATGGGAGTCACTATGAGTTGGCATCAACTGGACAGCAGTGGATTTTAATTCTTGGTTTATTTCCAAACCCTTAAGAATCCTGGTGGCACACTGGGTTAACTGGTCAGCTACAAGGGGAAAGGTTGGAGGGAGAAAGACCTGTTCCCATAAAGATTACAGCATAGAAAACCCTATAGGGCAGTCCTACTCTGTCATATGGGGTCACTAGGAGTTGGCACCCCACAAGGGCTGCCCTAAACCCAAACCAAATCCATCCATTTGAACCCATGGTGACTCCATATGTTTCAGCGTACAACTGTTTCATAGGATTTTCTTGGCTATAATCTTTATGGAAGCGAATTGCCAGTCTTTTCTTCCATGGCACTGCAGGGTCGGTTCTAACCTTTTGATTAGTAGTAAAGGCAAAATGTTTGTACCACCCAGACACCTAGGGCTGCCCTAGAGCTGCAGAAGTGCTAAAAAGATCTCCAAAGTGAAAAGAAAACCTGCCAGTTGGGTGCTGAGGATGAGACAGTTGGGAGACTCTAAGCCCCTGGGCTCACGATTGGCCAAAGCCTGGGGAAGAAGGGATAGAGATGAAGGATGGAGAGGAGAAGGGGACATGTGGTCACCTGCAGCCAGAGGATACCTGCATATGTAGGGACTGCTGGTGTCACACAGGCGAAGGCTGCATGTATGTGTGTGGGGTGTGTGTGGGGAATCATAAGCCCCTGTCCTGGCCACTACCAAGGGTTGTACTTGGGAACCTTTCAGAACGTCCCAGAACTGCCATTACGAGCTTGGAGGAGGCAGGGGTCTTAAGCAGTGTGTACCAGCCAAGCTAGGAGTGATGGTATGTGAATGTCCTCTGCCTAGTGGAGATGAGAAGCTGGGGTAAAAACCGACCAAGTGTATGGCTGTCTAACGTGCGTCTCAGTGTTTCCTTGGCCTCCTGTAAAGTGAAATGAAATGAGTATTTGAGGGAAGGGGGAGGTGGGTAAGGAGCGACACTTGCACAAAGTGACTCCCACACAAAGCAGTAGGCAATGCAATTCTTCTGAAACGTGACCGCTATTCAGGAAAGTGGGAGCGGCGAGGTGTCCAGAAAGTTGCTTTGTTTGCAGGGAGGATTTCATGATGGGCATCTCCACCTTGTTTCCTCCCAGCCACAGTGAACCCTTTCTGGTTGCAAAGGCTTTTGAGAAATTAACTCTTTTAGGGAAAAAATAAAATAAAAGTTTTCTGTTCTAAGGAAAGAGTTTGGGAGCCCCTAGTTACCTGCCCAAGGAGCTCTGATGGCACAGTGCCTGAGGTATCTGACTGCTAACCAGAAGGTTGGTTGTTCAAATCCCCCAGCCACTCTGCAGAAGGAAGACTGGGCGATCTCCTTCCATAAAGATTTACCTCCTTGCAAACCCAATGGGGGTCGCTATAAGTCAGAATCAACTCGATGGCAGTGGGTTTGGATTTGGGGTTAGTACCTGCCAGTAGAGAGATTTTTTAAAATAGGCAATGTCCAGATGCCAACACTTTCTTCAAAATTATTTTCTTTTGCTTCTTTTTTTCTCTCAGTCTGGTTTTGAAAAGTCTAATGCTTTCTTTAAAAAAAAAAAAAAAAGTTTTATTTTCCTCGAATAAATATTGGTCAGATTGCTATGAAATCGTCTTCCAGCTCAGCCAGGAGAATGGCATAGTGCCTAAGGCATTTGACTGCTAACCAGAAGACTTTGTTGTTGTTGTTGTTATGTGCCATCAAGTCGGACCAGAAAACTGGCGGGGTTCAAACCCACCAGCCACTCCTCGGCAGGAAGACTGGGCAATCTACTTCCGTAGAGATACCTCCTGGGAAACTCAAGGAGGGGTCGGTATGAGTTGAATCCACTCCAGGGCAGTGAGTTTGAGCTGGCTTAGAAAGATGGAAAATAAATGGAAGATATAGTTGTATTTCTTTTGGAGGTTTCATAAATACTTAATAAATCTCATGTTTTAAAAGCCAGGAGTGCATCATTTCAAATGTTTGGAATTTTGTTAGCCATATTGAATATGATTTGTTTCTGATATTTGTAACGAATCTGCATTGTAAATATATATTGCTTAATTAGAAGAAAGAATATAAAAATTCCATTTAGAAAGAGAATAATAAGAAGTAATAGAAAATAAACGATGTGGTGCAGTGATTGATCACATTTATTTAGTCTCTACTTCTAGGTTTAATTTGAACGCCTCCATGGTAGACGTCAAGTCGGGTACACACATAAGAAACGAATGTTCTGAAATTCAACGTTCTACTTCTATTACGTATGATTTTAGGAAGACACAGAAGGCGTAAGCATTGCGCGTTGAATTTGGGAATAGTATTTGCAATTCCAAGGGAGTCAAGAAGAGGAAGAGTGTACACATTGGACATAGCATTTTCTTTTTCTTTGAATAGCAGAACAAAATACCCCACTCACGTTCAGGGTTCCTTGGGAAATGTGAAAACCGAAAAAGCCGTGATCGTCCCAACTGGAGGCAGGAAAATAAAAGGCAAGACACGATGCCAACGGAAGTTTACGATCAGGTTATCTGCAAGGACGGAATCCAGCTTTTCGTTGGTAAACGTTTTGCCGCGAGCAGAAACCACTCACTCTCCAGCCCCGGGCGGTGCAGGTGGAGCGCGGAGCAGCCGGGACGGGCGGAGCGGACCCCCAGTTGTGCTGCCTTCTCACTTGGCTCTAGGTGAGCCCTCGGGCAAGGTGTGGTGCTATTCAAAAGGCGGGCGATGTCCCCTCTCCATCCGCAGGAACCCCCAGGGATAACACCCTCGAGCTCTCTGACCTCGGCTGACACTCCAGTAGCGCCGCCGCGGCGGACAGGTGGCGTCCCAGCAGTACGCCCTTGCCCGGAGCGCAGCCGCCGGCGCAGTCCCGCTGCAGAATCGTCCCGGCCCCAGCGGCTGTGGCGGTGGCTGCGGACACTTGCAGCCAGGGAACAGCAGCCTGGGGATGCACCAGGCACGACGGGCGCTGCAGCAGGTGGCAGTAGCCCCATGGGGCCGGGGACAGACTCTGCGCGGCGCCCGCGCCCCCCGCCCTGACCCCTTGCATGATGCTGTCGATGCTGAAGGACTTGCCCCCGCCCTCCCGCCGCTGCGCGGGCGCCTTGCCCACCTCCCAGGTCCCAGAGCCCAGCGAAGACTGCACAGACGGGAGGGAGCCAGGGGTTCCCAGATCTGCGCCCTCGGCGCTCCCGGGCGCCTGGGCGCAGGCTGGGGCCTGGAGCAGCAGGTAGCGGAGGGGGTGCGGGTGCAGCAGAGGGCACGGGCGACACCCGGCGGGGGTAGAGTAAGGCCCAAGGCCATGCTGCGGCGGTCCAGGGGGCCCCAGCAAGAGCCCCGGCGGCGGGCAGGGCAGCGCAACGGGTGGGTGCGTCCCGGGGGGCGGCTGGGTGCGCTTGAAGCGCTTCCTCCGCCGAAGGAAGCTGCCGTTGTCGAACATGTCCTGCGAGGCGGGGTCCAGGCTCCAGTAGCTGCCCTTGCCGGGGTGGCCCGGCTCGCGAGGGATCTTGACGAAACAGTCGTTGAGCGACAGGTTGTGCCGGATGCTGTTCTGCCAGGCAGGGAACCTGCGGCGATAGTAGGGGAAGCGGCCACGGATGAAGGCGCATATGCCGCTGAGCGTTAGGCGCTGGCGCGGGCTTTGCAGAATGGCCATAGTGATGAGCGCGATGTAAGAGTAGGGCGGCTTCGCAGGCAGCGAGGCGTCCCCGGGGGCCGCCGCGACCCCGGCAGAGGCCTTGAACTTGCTGTCAGCCTCGGAGGCGGCTCCCGGACAGCTCGCACCCTCGGTGCGTTCCTGTGGACGCGCGCCCCGCGGCCCCGGCGAGAGCGACTGCGCGGGAAACGGCTGGCTCCCCTCGGCCTCCTCCTCCTCCAGGATGTCGACCTCACTGTCTTCCGGGTCTGAGCCCCGGAGGCGCTCGGCTCTTGGCAAGTTCATGGAGGAACCAGACTTAGGGACGCTGGCGAGGTGGCGGTAGCTCACCTGGCTTAGGGCGGAAGTGCGCTAGAAGCCTGAAGTAAGAGTGACCCAAGAAGCAGAGCGCCTGTGATTACTCTTGTACGTGTGTTCTTTCCTTCTGATTTCTCCTCCTTTCCAACACCATTCGGCAAATATGCACTTGGCCTTTTATTAAAGCCCCGTCGAGTCCCTTCGGGCGTAGTGGATCTTCCTTTTATGTCCTTTCTTTCCTTACCTCCCCTGGCGTTGTCCATACACCACCCCAACCCCCAAGCAGTCCAACCAAGAAGGTCCGCAGCGCCAACACCCCACCAGAAAGACCTTAGCCCCCACCTCCTTTCACCCGCCCGCCACCCAGGAAGATGCTCCAGGGCTTGGCCAGCCAATTGGCGCTGGGGAGGCACAGGCTATACTAACGTTTTTTAAGTCACGCGCAAAAAAAAAAAAAAAAAAACCAAACCTGGGAAAATATGAAATTCAGAGGCCACCTCCATATGCAGGCCTCTCCCTTAGAGTATAGATATTGGGGGGAGGGGGCATTGAAGTACACATGGTATTTGGCAGTAAAAGTATGGTTTTGTGTTTCATAGCTGGCAAATCGCTCATTTTCATTGGTGGATTCCGTCTTCCAGGCTGAGCTGAAATATTTGGAGGTTCTCCTATCCCTGAATCTGGTGGGGGTGTTGGGTTGTCCCTACCACTTTCCATCCCAGCTCCCCCCACACCTCTCCCTGACTCCTTTACAGGACAGGCTGAACTGTCCTGGTGTGAAGTTGTGGGAATTCAATGGAGGGAAGGTGGAAGGCCCCCTTACAGAGGTAATTCTCCAAATTTTGTGAACCTTTTAACTACCAAACCAAACAAACAAACACAGTGACTCATAGTGACCCCATGGCTTTTCAAGGCTATAAATCTTTGCAGAAGCAGACTGCCTCATCTTCCGTTGACCATCTGTGGTTAGCAACCAAATGCCTAACCACTACAGCACCTGAGCTCCTTCATTTAACCACAATAGAAAATAAATGTTATACCAGGGTCCTGCCCACACAGACATGTGTAGCTAAAATAAGCTTCACAAACACTAGAGTGATTGCCGAGGTCTGTCTCTCTCTGTAGATGGCCATGGCCAACTACATGGATTGATTTCTCCAAATACTAACCTGTAAGGAGCTCTGGTAGCACAGTGCCTAAGGCACTTGACTGCTAACCAGAAGGCTGGCGGTTCAAACCCACCAGCCACTCCTCGGAAGGAAGGTTGGGCAATTCTACTTCTGTAGTGATACTGCCTCGGAAACCCAAGGAGGGGTCGCTATGAGTTGGGGCTGACTCGATGGCAAATAACAACAACAACTAACCTGTAGGGACTCACAGGTTTCACAGATTTTGTGAAAAATCCTGTTTTCACAAAATAGCCCTGTTTTGGTTACCTAGTGCCACTCTGACATGAATATACTACAAATGGGATGGCCTGAACAAACAGGAGTTTATTCTCTTACAATTTAGGAGGCTAGAAGCCCCAGTTCAAAGTGCCAGGCTCTAGGAGCTGGGTGAAAGCCCCTCGTCCCTGGACTTCAGCTCCACCTCTTGCTCCTGAAACTAGAGGCCTCTCTCCACCCAGGCAGCCACTGGTTGCTGAGGCTGACAAACCCAAGGTCCGAGGCAGTATCACTACGGAAGCAGATTGCCTAACCTTCGTTCCAAGGAGTGGTTGGTGGGTTTGAACTGCCAGCCTTCTGGTTAGTAGTCAAATGCCTTAGGCACAATGCCACCAGAACTCCTAGTGAAAAGGCACAGTCCCAATATTACCAAACCATACAGCAGGCCATTGATTCAAGTCCATCAAAAATCCTAAGATCACAGAGCACAGCAGGCTGCTGAATGAAGACTAGGCTACAATGCAAGGTCCAAGCATGCCAAAAAGTTGGAGACCTTCCTCAAAGTTGCTTCTTATATACTGGAAGCAGCCCACATCCCTAAAGCAGCTACTCAGCTGCTCCAGTAGATTCCACCATGGAGTTAATTACCACGGAGTAACTATATCCAGATGCCCAGCCACTCAACCTGGCCCAGTCAAGTTGACATATAACCTTAACTACCACAAGCCCTACGACTTGAGGGGAATGGGCTCCAACCCTGAACGCTTTTCTTTTTCTCTATCTTCTTCCTTTTTTTCCTTCTTTTCAGAAAAGCCAAAGTTAAACACTTTCTGTATTAAAAATAACAGTGCTGGAAACTTCAGTGAGGCAAAGGAGGGGCTGTCACTATATCGTTAGGCAGAGCACCCACTGGAAAGAGGGTGACACAGCAGCTTCTTCACTCACACACCTCACATCCATGTAATGATTTTTAGATCGCCTTCACTTGAATTTGACCTGACGCTAAAGAGTGGAATGGAAAAATAATGCATCATAAGATACCTATGTATGTAACAAGCATTAAATTATACTCCTCTTGGCACAAATGGCTAAGCATCTGACTACTAGCCAAAAGGTTGGCTATTTGAATTCACTCAGAGGTACCTTGGAAGAAAGGCCTGGCAATCTGCTTCCAGTCAAGTCTCGAAAACCATATGGAGCAGTTCCACTCTGCACACATGGGTCCCCATGAGTCAGTGTCAACTTGATGGCAATGAACACAATGGTAAAATACTGGCCTGAGTATGTATTTATACTTTAAAGCCCTGCAACTGCTGAAAAAAAAAATCTGAGATGGCATCTAATAAAATGCAGTTGTTGTTGTTGTTAGGTGCCATCGAATCGTTTCTGACTCATAGCGACTTCATGTACAGCAGAACCAAACACTGCCTGGTCCTGTGCCAACTCCACGATCCCTGGTACACCTGAGCCCATCATTGCAGCCACTGTGTCAATCCATCTTGTTGAGGGCCTCCCCATTTTTGTTGTCCCTCCACTTACCAACCATATCCTTCTCCAGGGAATGGCCCCTTCTTAACATGACTATGGTAGTTAAGTTTGTGTGTCAACTTGACTGGGCCTGGTTGAGTGGCTGGGCAGCTGAATATAGTATTCCCCTTGACGAGACTGGTAATCAACTCCATGGTGGACTCTACTGTAAGCAGTTGAGTAGCTGCCTTTGGGTATCTGTTCTGCTTCCTGTATATAAGGAGAAGCCTTGGGGAATGGTCTCTAGCTTATGGCAGGCTTGAACCCTGCATGTAGCCATACTATTGTTCAGCAGGCTGCCATGCTCTGCCAACCTTAGGACTTTGAACTGATTTAATGGCCTATCATGTGGTTTGGTAAACAAAACAATGACCAAAGCATGTGAGACGAAGTCTGGCCATTCTCACTTCCAAGGAGCATTCTGGCTACACCTCTTCCAGGACAGATTAGTTAGTTTTTAGTAGTCCATGGTACTTTCAGCATTCTTTGCTAACACCACAACTCAAAAGCGTCGACTCTTCTTTGGTTTTCCTTTTTCATTGTTCAGCTCTCACATGCATGTAAGGCGACTGAAAATACCATGGCCTGCATCAAGCACAACTTAGTCTTCAAGGAAATATCTCTGCTCTTCAGCACTAAATGCCGTTACAACAGGGTATTTATTATGCCATTGATTGCCACACAGTAAATCTTCCACTGGTGTTTTTTAGGTGACAATTTACAGTGAGAACTGTAAAGGGCAAATAATAATGATAATTTTCTGAAAGTAGCTAGTGCCTTCAAGGTAAGATTTGGAAAACAGCTTTCTTGCAAGTTTGCTTTTAAGCTTTCTCTACTCCTGAAGCTGTCATCCTCTGAGGCTCCCAGTTACACACAACTTAAAGGAGATAAACAGAAGGCTGTGAGCCCCCCCAGATTTGTGTTGGAATCATACATTTTCCGATTACACTTGTGTGATGGGCACTTAGCTCCAGGGTGCCAGACAGATGTACCATTTGACTTTATATCCTGATGCTGTCCCTCCACCCCTGCAGGTGGAGCACATTTCTTCCATCAGCATAGGAATCTGACTGCCTGAAAAGATATACTGTTAGCTTTCCTAGAGTCAACTTCTAGGGATTTGGGTTATTAAAAAAGTAAAGGACAGAATTTAAGGAAGTGCTTAAAACAAACAAAAACCCAACAATGAGCAAACTGCATCGATGAGCATACTCAACAGGGACAGAGGGGCCAAAGAGCTCCCAATGGCCAGAGCTGAAACAATTTGAGCAACAAAATCAATAAATTAGTGCCCACTGCTGTCAAGTTGATTCCAACTCACAGTGATCCTACTGGACAGGGTAGAACTGCCCCATTGGGTTTCCAAGGCTGCAATCTTTATAGAAGCAGATTGCCACATCTTCCTCCCATGGAGTAGCTGGTGGGTTCTGACTGCCAACCTCTCCGTTAGCACCCAAGTGTTTTAACCACTGAGCAACCAGAGCTCTTTCAAATAATGTACTCCTTAATTATAACCCAAAGAATAAAATAAATATCCATGAGTCCACAGTGATACAAAGAAATGAGTGAATAAACTTGTCAATGGGGTAGAAGAAAACAAACCTCTGATGCAAAGGAAATCCAAATTAGGGTTATAGATACTCTGCCCTAAAGAAGGGGAAGACAACCCTCTGTCCCTAAGCGTGGGCCATCTGGCAACGGGAGGAAAGAGTAACTTTACAATGGAAACCCCTGACAAACACTAGGTAGTCAAAGTCAGCATCAACAGTGAGAACTCATGTTGACAGTGTGCACTTTGGCCAGGATGAGAAGAAAATAGCACTTTACCTCTGTGGTCTTCCTCCCCAAAACCAAGAACCCTAGGCCTATCATGAGCAAAACATCAGACACACCCCAACTATGGACATTCTACAAAACCCCTGACTTCCACTGCTCCTCAAATCTACCAAGGCCATCAAACACAAGGAAGGTCTGAAAAGCTGTCAAGCAGAGCCTAAGGTGATGTCACAGCTAAATGTAATGCAGATCCCGGAGAGTCCTGAGACAAAAAAAAAAAAAAAAGGCCATTAGATAAAA